ATGAAAACAATAAGAACTGGTGCTTTTGAAGACTGGCCCTATTGTGTTAGTGTCATCTTACCTCAGGCAAAAATGATTAAATTTCATACATTTGCGGGATCATTAGAATTGCAAATTAGTGTCAGTTGTTAAGCCTCTGCAACAATTTTTCCGATTATGTATCGTGATATTTTGAAGAAATCGGGGTCTTTAAATTATTTTGTTTAATACACAGTTCGGTTCGCTTGTACGAAATCTAACATCAGATTAACAAATGCCATGGAGAATACCGGAGGTAGTAGTACGAAAAAAAGAATCAATGGCTTACGTGCTGCAACTTCTTTCTACTTGCTATTGACTCGTGACTTTCAATAAACATAGATCCCATTCTGTATGCCACTCTATGCACTTTTATGTACTTCGCTCAACTACGCAAAGATTCACCTCTGAAACTCACCTCTATTAGAGATTTCCAGCAGCGGAGTTATTCGTTTTCTCTGCCTATCTTTTTTCTACATTTGTACTGACATCTAGTGTAACCAACCCTAAATCAACACAAAGCGATTCCGGCATTTCTGTTCATCGATATTATGACGTTTAGCCGAGAGATGACTTTTTCCTGAGGTAGCAACACAATGCATATATGAAATAAGAATTCTTCTCCCTCCTTCCCTTTGTACTAAAGGCGTGGACAGCGAACGTGGCACCCACTTCTGGCACCTCCATCACGCTCACCAACAAGGATTATAATGGACTACAAGTGGCTGGCGCAACACTGGAGTTGGGCATATTGGTAACCTACTCGGGGTCTATTCCAGACATCATTTCTGTGAGCTTCAATGGTCAAATTGCTGGAGACTGTGGAGTTCCCTCAACCTCACCAACTCCGGCTCCCACTTCTCCGCCCACTCCGGCCCCCACTTCACCCACTCCGGCTCCCACTTCTGCACCCACTTCACCCACTCCAGCTCCCACACCACTCTGCACGGCCCCCACTTCACCCACTCCGGCTCCCACTTCTGCACCACTCCGGCCCCCACTTCACCCACTTCGGCACCCACTTCCCACTACCCACTTTCACCCACTCCAGCTCCCACTTCTGCACCCACTCCGGCCCCCACTTCACCCACTCACCACTCCGGCCCACTTCTTCCACTTCACCCACTCGGCCCCCACACCACACTTCTGCACCCACTCCAGCCCCCACTTCTGCGCCAACCACAAAAACCACAGGTAAAAATGATCTCATAATTTCCTTGTAATTTTAAGTAGATTTATTCATGAATTTTTATTTTTTTATGAATTCGTATGCAAATTTGCCATATTCCGTCGACAGTTCAAGCATACCATAAATAAGATTTACATTGCAGAAGGACAAAGCACTCAGGAACCAAGTCCTGGGTGCATCGCTCCTGGGACAAGCTATGACTATGATGAAGTTCTTCACAAGTCCCTCCTGTTTTACGAAGCTCAGCGATCTGGAGATCTGCCAGCTTCACAGCGTGTCACCTGGCGTAAGGACTCTGCCCTGGGCGACGCCAAGGACAGTGTGACCAACGTTCAGCTTGACCTAACAGGAGGATATTATGATGGTTAGACTTCATCAGTTACACACAAAAAATATTACTCAACTGCGGGTACATTGTCATTACAAGCAAGTCTATAGCATTGAGAAATTACTATTTCTGCACTATTAATCTATATGTGATTTATTTTGAAACAGCTGGCGATTATGGCAAATTTGGATATCCAATGTCAAGTATGACAACAGTGTTGGCATGGGGAGCCATCGACTACGGCGCTGCCTATATACAAGCAGGTAATTCAGTGAGCAATGATACACTGTAATATCAAGTAAATGTTTATCACATGATGACTATTTAGAAATCTTTGCCATATTTTGAACAAGTTTAATAACTAATTCAACTGATTTCAGGGGAAATGCCGTACATGAAGGAGGCCGTCAAGTGGGCCACAGACTATTTCCTTAAGGCACACGTGAGTCCTACTGTGTTGTATGGCCAAGTAGGTAATGGTCAGCTTGACCATGCTTTTTGGGGCCGTCCAGAGGACATGACCATGGACAGACCAGCCTACAAAATCACGGAAGCAAATCCCGGATCTGACTTGGTGGCCGAGACTTCTGCTGCCCTGGCTGCCGCCTCCATTCTCTTCAAAGATTCCAACCCTGCATATTCTGCCGAATGTCTTCAACACTCTAGGGAGCTTTACGATTTTGCCAATAATTTCAGAGGAGACTACGACGCTACAATCCCTGGTGTTTCTGAATTCTATGCCAGCTATGGCTACTACGACGAATTAGCTTGGGCTGCTGCCTGGCTTTACCGTGCCACAGGTGAGACTAGCTACCTAACGGCAGCCAAGACACATTTTCAGCAACTTTCAACAACTCCTTGGGAGTTTTCTTGGGCTGATAAGACCCCTGGAGTGCAGGTATTACTGGCACAACTAGCCGACGAAGTCGATAAAGCCACATATGTGAATCATTTGACCAACTTCTGCAACGACATCATAGACAACAGGCAAAGGACACCCAGGGATTGGTGTACCTGAGTCAGTGGGGCTCCCTCCGATATGCAGCTAACGCAGTCTTCATTTGTCTAAGAGCTGCAGACTTGGGCATCAACCCTGAGAAATATCGAGAGTTTGGCAAGCAACAGATCCACTACATGTTGGGCGACACTGGACGGAGCTATGTGGTTGGTTTTGGCGTGAACCCTCCGCAGCGGCCACATCACGCCAGCAGCTCGTGTAAACCAGCTCCAGCAACGTGTGACTGGTCAGACTTCCATTCGCCGGATCCTAACCCTCACGTGCTGTACGGAGCCTTGGTGGGAGGCCCTGACGCCAACGACTGGTATGAGGACAAGCGCGAAGACTATGTCAAGAATGAAGTTGCCACAGACTACAACGCAGGGTTCCAATCTGCTGTAGCTGCTCTCCGCTCCCTCACGGACTGTGGCGGAGTGACAGCTGCACCAACAACAGCAGCTCCCACCCCAGCACCCACCTCGGTTCCCACTCCCGCACCCACTTCAGCACCAACCACACCGAACACAGGCGGAGGAAGTGGCAGCTGCTTCCGATTTGCGAAAGCCAACAGTTGGAGCGGGAACTATGATGGAACATTGTACGTGACTATCCCCACTGATGTAGGGTCTTGGAGCATCGACCTTCAGTTATCATCATCTGTGAACAATTTCCAGGTCAGTATGAATTTTGCAAATTTACAATTGCTTAAGAATGGGAGAACTGTAGATTTATTTTTCCTTTAAATACTGGGTTTTCATTGATTCAACCTGATTTACTTCATTCAACAATATAGATTTTCAATTTTAATACATTTATCTATATAGGTAGCTTACCGGTATTGAATATGAATAAGCATGTGTTCATATATATATATATATATATATATATATATATGTGTGTGGTGTGTGTGTTGTGTGTGTGTGTGTGTGTGTGTGTGTGTGTGTGTGTGTGTGTGAGTAGGGCATGCACACAGCTAATAGATCTGGTTGGTCATATTAATTTATTACTGATCTAATTACAAATGAATAAAGATGTAGACATGAAATGTTAGATATTTTGTGAAGATAAAATATCTTTTATTAGTTATTTACAAACACGTTTGGACAAGCTGAAATATAGATTTACTTTAGAATATGAGTGATATACGACAACAATGTAGACACGAAAGAGACCAAAAGTATTGGGGAATGCCAGCGGTATGTCGCCGTCTCAAAAAGGAGGAAAACCATAAACAATGATTGATTTTGAGAGTGCAAAAAAAGAAAATGCGTTTATATACTAATTACTCCGTTTCATCCTTCCCTCTTTTGGGCACCGAAGGCGTGGACAGCGAACGTGGCACCCACTTCTGGCACCTCCATCACGCTCACCAACAAAAACTACAATGGAGTCCAAACTGCTGGCGCAACGCTTGAGCTAGGCATCTTGGTAACTTTCTCGGGACCTACTCCAGCCATCACGGCCGCGACTTTCAATGGTGAAATGCTTACAGGTTGTGGAGCTACCTCAGCTCCTTCCACCCCAGCTCCAACCCCGGCTCCAACCCCAGCCTCGACTCCAGAGAGTACTGTGAACCCTGGAACTGGTAACTAAGTGATGATATTTCTCTTCATATACTTCCTTTTCCTGGGCTTTTGCCACATCTTTTTATGCGTAATGTATATCGACAAATATGAAGAACTAATGACTCGCCCATAAGGATTTGCAATGAGGGTAATGTAAGCCTTCCGCACAAGATTTTCAATAAAGGATAGTTTAAAACTAATCAAGAGAGGTCAGCGCGATTCCTGAAGAGTATACATACTTTCGATACCGAAATTAAGTCGTTGGAAAATTTACTGTTTATCTGATATTTTCGTTACAGAAGAACCTAGTACCCAAGCACCAGGCTCTGGGTGCGTTGCTCCTGGGACAAGCTATGACTATGATGAAGTTCTTCACAAGTCCCTCCTGTTTTACGAAGCTCAGCGATCTGGAGATCTGCCAGCTTCACAGCGTGTCACCTGGCGTAAGGACTCTGCCCTGGGCGACGCCAAGGACAGTGTGACCAACGTTCAGCTTGACCTAACAGGAGGATATTATGATGGTTAGACTTCATCAGTTACACACAAAAAAATATTACTCTACTGCGGGTACAGTCATTACAAGCAAGTCTATATAGCATTGAGAAATTACTATTTCTGCACTATTAATCTATATGTGATTTATTTTGAAACAGCTGGCGATTATGGCAAATTTGGATATCCAATGTCAAGTATGACAACAGTGTTGGCATGGGGAGCCATCGACTACGGCGCTGCCTATATACAAGCAGGTAATTCAGTAAGCAACGCTACACTGTAATATCAAGTGAATGTTTATCACATGATGACTATTTAGAAATCTTTGCCATATTTTGAACAAGTTTTATAACTAATTCAACTGATTTCAGGGGAAATGCCGTACATGAAGGAGGCCGTCAAGTGGGCCACAGACTATTTCCTTAAGGCACACGTGAGTCCTACTGTTGTATGGCCAAGTAGGTAATGGTCAGCTTGACCATGCTTTTTGGGGCCGTCCAGAGGACATGACCATGGACAGACCAGCCTACAAAATCACGGAAGCAAATCCCGGATCTGACTTGGTGGCCGAGACTTCTGCTGCCCTGGCTGCCGCCTCCATTCTCTTCAAAGATTCCAACCTGCATATTCTGCCGAATGTCTTCAACACTCTAGGGAGCTTTACGATTTTGCCAATAATTTCAGAGGAGACTACGACGCTACAATCCCTGGTGTTTCTGAATTCTATGCCAGCTATGGCTACTACGACGAATTAGCTTGGGCTGCTGCCTGGCTTTACCGTGCCACAGGTGAGACTAGCTACCTAACGGCAGCCAAGACACATTTTCAGCAACTTTCAACAACTCCTTGGGAGTTTTCTTGGGCTGATAAGACCCCTGGAGTGCAGGTATTACTGGCACAACTAGCCGACGAAGTCGATAAAGCCACATATGTGAATCATTTGACCAACTTCTGCAACGACATCATAGACAACAGGCAAAGGACACCCAAGGGATTGGTGTACCTGAGTCAGTGGGGCTCCCTCCGATATGCAGCTAACGCAGTCTTCATTTGTCTAAGAGCTGCAGACTTGGGCATCAACCCTGAGAAATATCGAGAGTTTGGCAAGCAACAGATCCACTACATGTTGGGCGACACTGGACGGAGTTATGTGGTTGGTTTTGGCGTGAACCCTCCACAGCGGCCACATCACGCCAGCAGCTCGTGTAAACCAGCTCCAGCAACGTGTGACTGGTCAGACTTCCATTCGCCGGATCCTAACCCTCACGTGCTGTACGGAGCCTTGGTGGGAGGCCCTGACGCCAACGACTGGTATGAGGACAAGCGCGAAGACTATGTCAAGAATGAAGTTGCCACAGACTACAACGCAGGGTTCCAATCTGCTGTAGCTGCTCTCCGCTTCCACACGGACTGTGGCGGAGTGACAGCTGCACCAACAACAGCAGCTCCCACCCCAGCACCTACCCCTGTACCCACTTCTACACCAACCCCACCTCCAACACCAGAACCTACTGCAAACCCAGGAACTGGTAACTAAAATGACTATGTATTTGCTGTATTTGACGTGTATTATGTTTCTTCCTACAGTTTACATATTATAGTAATACCTGTAGAAATAGTTACATTGTATATGTAAAAAACTAAAGGTCCATGATATAAATTGACTTCAAAAATACTGAACTACACATCTAATTTACTGATATTTTTACCATAAATGCTGGTTTAGAATTTTCACGAAATTGGAACACGGATACTTGAGTATGGTATTGTAGTAAGGACTTTAAGTTTCCTGTCATCAAATTACAGCATGAGCTAAATGTGGAAGAACACGTATTTGTTAAATGAAATATTCCCCACAGAGGAACCCAGTACCCAAGCACCTGGCTCTGGGTGCGTTGCTCCTGGGACAAGCTATGACTATGATGAAGTTCTTCACAAGTCCCTCCTGTTTTACGAAGCTCAGCGATCTGGAGATCTGCCAGCTTCACAGCGTGTCACCTGGCGTAAGGACTCTGCCCTGGGCGACGCCAAGGACAGTGTGACCAACGTTCAGCTTGACCTAACAGGAGGATATTATGATGGTTAGACTTCATCAGTTACACAAAAAAAATATTACTCTACTGCGGGTACAGTCATTACAAGCAAGTCTATATAGCATTGAGAAATTACTATTTCTGCACTATTAATCTATATGTGATTTATTTTGAAACAGCTGGCGATTATGGCAAATTTGGATATCCAATGTCAAGTATGACAACAGTGTTGGCATGGGGAGCCATCGACTACGGCGCTGCCTATATACAAGCAGGTAATTCAGTAAGCAACGCTACACTGTAATATCAAGTGAATGTTTATCACATGATGACTATTTAGAAATCTTTGCCATATTTTGAACAAGTTTAATAACTAATTCAACTGATTTCAGGGGAAATGCCGTACATGAAGGAGGCCGTCAAGTGGGCCACAGACTATTTCCTTAAGGCACACGTGAGTCCTACTGTGTTGTATGGCCAAGTAGGTAATGGTCAGCTTGACCATGCTTTTTGGGGCCGTCCAGAGGACATGACCATGGACAGACCAGCCTACAAAATCACGGAAGCAAATCCCGGATCTGACTTGGTGGCCGAGACTTCTGCTGCCCTGGCTGCCGCCTCCATTCTCTTCAAAGATTCCAACCCTGCATATTCTGCCGAATGTCTTCAACACTCTAGGGAGCTTTACGATTTTGCCAATAATTTCAGAGGAGACTACGACGCTACAATCCCTGGTGTTTCTGAATTCTATGCCAGCTATGGCTACTACGACGAATTAGCTTGGGCTGCTGCCTGGCTTTACCGTGCCACAGGTGAGACTAGCTACCTAACGGCAGCCAAGACACATTTTCAGCAACTTTCAACAACTCCTTGGGAGTTTTCTTGGGCTGATAAGACCCCTGGAGTGCAGGTATTACTGGCACAACTAGCCGACGAAGTCGATAAAGCCACATATGTGAATCATTTGACCAACTTCTGCAACGACATCATAGACAACAGGCAAAGGACACCCAAGGGATTGGTGTACCTGAGTCAGTGGGGCTCCCTCCGATATGCAGCTAACGCAGTCTTCATTTGTCTAAGAGCTGCAGACTTGGGCATCAACCCTGAGAAATATCGAGAGTTTGGCAAGCAACAGATCCACTACATGTTGGGCGACACTGGACGGAGCTATGTGGTTGGTTTTGGCGTGAACCCTCCGCAGCGGCCACATCACGCCAGCAGCTCGTGTAAACCAGCTCCAGCAACGTGTGACTGGGACTTCCATTCGCCGGATCCTAACCCTCACGTGCTGTACGGAGCCTTGGTGGAGGCCCTGACGCCAACGACTGGTATGAGGACAAGCGCGAAGACTATGTCAAGAATGAAGTTGCCACAGACTACAACGCAGGGTTCCAATCTGCTGTAGCTGCTCTCCGCTCCCTCACGGACTGTGGCGGAGTGACAGCTGCACCAACAACAGCAGCTCCCACCCCAGCACCCACCTCGGTTCCCACTCCCGCACCCACTTCAGCACCAACCACACCGAACACAGGCGGAGGAAGTGGCAGCTGCTTCCGATTTGCGAAAGCCAACAGTTGGAGCGGGAACTATGATGGAACATTGTACGTGACTATCCCCACTGATGTAGGGTCTTGGAGCATCGACCTTCAGTTATCATCATCTGTGAACAATTTCCAGGTCAGTATGAATTTTGCAAATTTACAATTGCTTAAGAATGGGAGAACTGTAGATTTATTTTTCCTTTAAATACTGGGTTTTCATTGATTCAACCTGATTTACTTCATTCAACAATATAGATTTTCAATTTTAATACATTTATCTATATAGGTAGCTTACCGGTATTGAATATGAATAAGCATGTGTCCATATACATGTGTGGGTAGGGGCATGCACACAGGTAATAGATCTGGCTGGTCATATTAATTTATTACTGGTCTAAATACAAATGAATAAAGATGTTGACATGAAATGTTAGATATTTTGTGAAAATAGAATATCTTTTATTAGTTATTTACAAACACGTTTGGACAAGCTGAAATATAGATTTACTTTAGAATATGAGTGATATACGACAATAATGTAGACACGAAAGAGACCAAAGTATTGGGGAATGCCAGCGGTATGTCGCCGTCTCAAAAAGGAGGAAAACCATAAACAATGATTGATTTTGAGAGTGCAAAAAAAGAAAATGCGTTTATATACTAATTACTCCGTTTCATCCTTCCCTCTTTTGGGCACCGAAGGCGTGGACAGCGAACGTGGCACCCACTTCTGGCACCTCCATCACGCTCACCAACAAAAACTACAATGGAGTCCAAACTGCTGGCGCAACGCTTGAGCTAGGCATCTTGGTAACTTTCTCGGGACCTACTCCAGCCATCACGGCCGCGACTTTCAATGGTGAAATGCTTACAGGTTGTGGAGCTACCTCAGCTCCTTCCACCCCAGCTCCAACCCCGGCTCCAACCCCAGCCTCGACTCCAGAGAGTACTGTGAACCCTGGAACTGGTAACTAAGTGATGATATTCTCTTTCATATACTTCCTTTTCCTGGGCTTTTGCCACATCTTTTTATGCGTAATGTATATCGACAAATATGAAGAACTAATGACTCGCCCATAAGGATTTGCAATGAGGGTAATGTAAGCCTTCCGCACAAGATTTTCAATAAAGGATAGTTTAAAACTAATCAAGAGAGGTCAGCGCGATTCCTGAAGAGTATACATACTTTCGATACCGAAATTAAGTCGTTGGAAAATTTACTGTTTATCTGATATTTTCGTTACAGAAGAACCTAGTACCCAAGCACCAGGCTCTGGGTGCGTTGCTCCTGGGACAAGCTATGACTATGATGAAGTTCTTCACAAGTCCCTCCTGTTTTACGAAGCTCAGCGATCTGGAGATCTGCCAGCTTCACAGCGTGTCACCTGGCGTAAGGACTCTGCCCTGGGCGACGCCAAGGACAGTGTGACCAACGTTCAGCTTGATCTAACAGGAGGATATTATGATGGTTAGACTTCATCAGTTACACACAAAAAAATATTACTCAACTGCGGGTACAGTCATTACAAGCAAGTCTATAGCATTGAGAAATTACTATTTCTGCACTATTAATCTATATGTGATTTATTTTGAAACAGCTGGCGATTATGGCAAATTTGGATATCCAATGTCAAGTATGACAACAGTGTTGGCATGGGGAGCCATCGACTACGGCGCTGCCTATATACAAGCAGGTAATTCAGTGAGCAATGATACACTGTAATATCAAGTAAATGTTTATCACATGATGACTATTTAGAAATCTTTGCCATATTTTGAACAAGTTTAATAACTAATTCAACTGATTTCAGGGGAAATGCCGTACATGAAG